ACAGAGCAATACGTGCACACTGCTCAATACTTTCTAAAAACCTGCATATAAAACTTGCTTAAAGGAGCCCTGAGGTTGCGAAGTCGTGCATTTTTGTCCACGGACACCAGGAAAAAGATGGGCCCCTCGTGCACGTGTGTTATAATCATCTTTGCCAGAATGACAGAGGAAATACGTAGCCAGGCTGGGGACAGAAGAAGCCTGTTCCCCTGGGTGCTAGTTCTGGGCCTTAAAGAGAAGAGGATGTGCTTTCTTTTTCTCAGCACCTCTGCCTGTCATCGCTCTCAGAAACTGTCCAAGTGCTTCGGTAGAAACTCTCATCCGTGCCTCAAACAGATTTTTCTTGAAAAATTTGGTTTGACCAACAAGTTTTAGTTAAAATTAACTTATAAGCATCTTGACTACCTTCACCTGTACTTTACTGATCACTGCCTAAATGTTTTAAGTGATCCAGACTTGTTTTGTCCTCTCACTGATGTCCAGCTGCCCCTTCACAGCTGTTGCAGAGGGCGCGCTCCCCACACCAACTCACGCTCCAAGTTTCAGGTTTGTTCCACCTAGCAATTAGAGAAGTACAATGCAAGTACCCTGTAAATCCCATTATACACCTTCAGGGTGAAATAGCTATTCTACTGGTAATGCTTCCAAAGAAGGCAAAGCAACTGAGCAGCTCTTAAGTTGGGCTTTAAAATGTGACCATGATTGTGTGACCCTGGATAATTAGAATAAAAAGATCCATATTCCACAACGGAGGCCTGGCTTACGGCGCTCGTGATGATTTCTGCTCATGCAGCCATTTGGAGATGGAAAGAGGCGAGTGAGCTGTCACCAAAGCAACCAGAAGGATGGGATCTTGCAAAGATCAGACCCATAAATAACTAGCTTCTGAGCTGGTCGCATTCACTTAATGTAGAGCTAATGCGTGCTGAAAGCTCGGCTGCTGAGCTCTGTGCCGACTGCAGAGGCTGAATCATGACAGTGAGAAATAACAGATTTACAGAAGCTAAATTCAAGAAATTGCAGGTGAAATGTTTCCTGGTAACATGCTGGGGACGTTCTGTGGCAGTTCAGCAGATGGTTTGAAAAGCAGCCTTGTTTGCCATGATGTTAGTTGGTGGGTCTGGTGATTTGACTTCCACTTCAGGAAAGGGCATTGTCAACATTGTAAGAAACTCGAGATGGATTCCACCCCCCCCCATGTTAAATTTAAGTTTTTCATTTGCTTTGGGCAAAGGACAACATTCACGTTGTTGTACGTAAGTAACTAGAAGGGAAACCTAGAATATTTGGGAGTGGGAGACTCTATTTGAAGGAAGCAATGAGATGGTGAGTGGATCCTGTTAAAACCTTTAAAATATATATATACATGCCTCCAATGTCAGCCTTAGATCAAAATGTCCTGCCAGGCTGCACCTTGGCCACGACTTGGATGATGGCAGGCAGTGGGTATCGGTGGGCTTAGACACCCCTGCACAAGATTAAGTTAATTATCAGGAAGTTTTCCTCCAGAGCTCTAGAGACTTTTCCCGCTGCTCAAAGGAATTAAACAATATTTTGGATTGCAGCGTGGCTGTGGTGGGAAATATTTCAAGATGCATGAGTCGTAATAGGAAATTCCTGATTCAGCTGCAGTTTTCTGGGTGTGCCACTGTCGCTCACCATTGGAGTTACAGCGGTGGTCACTGAAACCTTTCTGACTAGCCTTTCTTCTTATGTGAAGGAACGGCAAGTCTCAGCTCCTGAGTCCACGTGAACTCTGCCTGGAAGCCATGTTTCCTGCACTCCCAGTTCAACAAAGCCGCCCCCTCGCAGGCAGCGCCAGTGCAAGGGTGCTCAGGAAGCCCAAGCCAAATCAGCGCACAGGGTGAAGCCAGTTGTGCAAGCTAGTGTGGTCAGTTCGCACGTGGATGTTGTTATTCACGAGTGAAGTGACCTTCGATTGCAGTGGCTGACTCTTCCTTAGCATCCCTGTGTAGACGTGGCCCGAGTCTTTGACTTCAGCACCTAACAGCAGAAGTGACAAGACTGGACCTTGGTCTGGGATATCTGGGCTTGTGGCAGGAGACTGTCTCTCTCACCCAGGCAAAGGGGCACCGTCTGAATCTTTTACAGCGGCCCAGGCTCCAGGTTAATGCATGTTAAATTTTGATTTGAAAGAGGGAAGAGTTCAGACGCATTCCCAGCATGGTCCTCTCTGGACGTATGGAAAGGGGGTGTTGTCTGTCTTCTCCGTGCTGTTGTGTCTGTGACGAGCACAATCCGTAGTGGTTAACAAGGCGCTGAGTGAGGGGCTTGTCTGGGATGAAACGAGGAGAAGAGGTAAAGCACCCGTGTGGCAGGAGCTTCGGCAGGAAAAGGCTTTGGGTGCCGCTGACGGGATTCTTTTAAGTACAACTGACTTCTAATGTGAAGCAAGATTTAGGTCTTGCTGGAGATGCAAGATGACGAGAATACATCTAGGTTAACAAAGTCAGTTGCTTTAGCCATCATTTACTTTATTTTCCTTTCAATTTGACATCTCTGTCTCTGAAAATTACTATGTGCCCACTGAGATCCTTGCTGAGCTATACATCAGCCCTATTCTGTCTCGGTGGGAATGTTAAAGTCTTAAGATACCAAATTTAAGGTGACAGTTCCTATTGCTGGGAGTAGTACAATTTACATTTTTTTCATCCAAAAGCCTCTTATTAAGATTTGGAAAGGGAATAGTAAAATCCAGTCTTTGTGTCTTAACCTTATTATCATTTTTATAATAATGTTCATTTACATTCTGTGTGTGTGCGTGTGCATGTGTGCTTGCGTGTCAACTGCATCGCAAAGCCTTGGCTGACAGTTCGAGAGCTGGCATGGAGAAGAGACCTTGTCTTGGCCTGTTTCCCCGAGTTGCCTGAACAAAACGCGCCCTGCCGATACTTGTGGTTCTGTAGCGGGGGGATCACCACGCGTCTGTCGGGTATGTTTTCTCTGTGGTTCACTCTGCTGCACATCAGTTGAGTCAGGAAAAAGGCTTTCTGTGCACAAGCTCCAGTTGGCTTCTCCCTGCCACCTCCAGCAAATTTGCGTTGGTTGCTTTTTGCCCAGCGGGAACCTGAACATCCAAGCAGGTCTGTCCTGCAAAGGTACCTGCCACCCCCATGACACGAGCTCTCCAGACATGGGCTATGCTGTGTGTGGCAGTGCGGTGATAACACCTCTGCTCGCACTCATTTTGCACTTTTTGTTACTTTTCGTCTCTGCAGACATGTGCCCTTCTCTCCGTTACACAAATGTTGAACAAAAATGTTGTGTGACTGCCCTCGTAGTGCTGTCTGTCTTCCCACCCCCCAACCTGAAGTTCTGTCTTAGCTGTAGGATGAGTAGTACTTCCAGTGACGCACTAATGCTCTCCAGTTGTGGCTTTAGTCTAAATGGGACTCTGAAAACCACTAGCTCTCAATGGCAAGACTGACCTTGTTTAAACTCATGCTTTCTTCCTAGCTGCAGATGGTATTTGTATTTTCCTAACGTGTGGCACATGTTGCCTTCTATTGACACCAGATACTGAAAGGAATGTTGAAATGAGAAGAATTGAGAATAAAACACTAGTCCGGGAGGTAATACAACTTTCTCATACCACATTAGTAAGAAAATATGACACTCAGGCCTTTGATCTCATCTCTGTTCTTTATTAACTACAGTGGAAATAAAAGAAATGCATGAAATAGGGTCATGGGAAGCCTGGCAGTCCATCATTTTGAGTGTAGATAATGGTGTTTAAATTCTGCTGTAATATTGTACGTGGAATAATAAAAAGACTATATTTTTGTGACATGATTTGGGGAGCTGCAGTGAATTACAGTTTGAAACGCACACAGTTATTTCTTCTACAAACCATGTTGTAATTTCTCGTAAGCAAACGTGACGGTTCTGTGCGGTTACTCTGTGAAGGTAGATTTTGCTCTGTATCCCCCTTCTTTTAACTGCTGGTTTATCATGGGATTCCTGGGCTCAGTCTCCTCTGAGATCAGCCTGGCAAGATGAATGCCACACCACACTCCTGGGAAGACGTCACCCTTGGCAAGGGATCCTTTTGCAGTCTGTTCTCTTGTGCCGATGAAGCCAATGAAGGACCCATCACTGGTGAAGGCCTTCTTCTGTCGGCAGCCTGCTCTTGGAGGCAGGATTTTTCTCAAGGGGGCTGCATAGCACTTGCTTGGTTTGAAGCTGAAATATTGACATGCCGACTGCAGCAGACCTGGCTGCCAGAAGCTGTTGCTCACGGTGTAGTGTGCTTTGGCTGAAAGGACAGTAAACCTCTGCTCATCTCAGCTCCTTTCTCTCTATATATAATATGGGGAGGCGGGCAGCATTTCTGAGCCATGGCGTTAGCTCTGGATGAGGAGGATGCAGATGTGCTGCAGTCTTTCTTGACTATTTGTAAACCCTTTATTTTAAAGCAGAAAGTTTTGCTGGCTTCTCTTTTCACATGTGGTGGCTTAGGCTCTCCCAGCTCAGATCCAAGCATGATGTTTACACCTGTAGTGGAAGCCTTCATGTCAGCGTCTTCCTGGAGATGGCAGGTTTAAGTGCACATTGGTGCTTTCCTGTGAGTGCAGGAGGGTCAGAGGACAATGGTCAGGGTCCCTGGTGATGTTCCTATTCAGAGTTTATGCTGTTTGGCATGTGCCTACCAGTCCTCCTTGGCAGCCACACTTGAGCTAGTGTCTTCTTGAACGTTCGGTGTGAACTTCGGCCACTTCTGAGCAGGGGAAATTTTACCCACGTGCACTTCAGCCAAGTTATTATTCAGAACAGGTGGGATCTCACAGCAGCTAAGAATTGGCCTCCTAGTATCAGGAATGTGCACGCCATGCTCTTCTCCAGGCTCGGCCGTGCAGCATGGGCAGTTCGGGTATGGCATGCAAGGGTGGAGGGCTGTGCTGGCTTGGTGTGGAAGGGCTCAGGTCGTATGTTTTTGCAGATGGGCCATTTTCTCATCTGAAGCCTTGTTTCTCTTCCAGATGACCGGGTTGATCAGCGAACCTGCCTTATCTGTGGAGACAGAGCAACAGGTCTGCACTATGGTATCATCTCCTGCGAGGGCTGCAAGGGGTTTTTCAAGCGGAGCATTTGCAACAAGCGGGTTTACAGATGCAGTCGAGACAAGAACTGCGTGATGTCACGCAAGCAGCGAAACAGATGCCAGTACTGCCGGCTGCTCAAGTGCCTCCAGATGGGGATGAACCGGAAAGGTAAAGCCAGTGAGCTGCTTCAAATATCCAACTCACACACACGGGCAAAAAGGGGTGGCTGGGCCCTGGGTGTGACAGAAGCTGCCTCTTTCCGGGAGAGGCTGGGGAGATCTCTTGTGTTGGTATCTCACCGCATATCCTGCTGGCTTTCTATGAGCACTCAGCCAGAAACCAAAAACGCTTCTTTCTGCCAGTCCCCAGGTTACGTGGATATCCCCTTCACTCATCATTTGGGTTGTGTTCAAGGCTGTGGTTACTAGCAATATCAGCCTGCTCTGGGCACCTGTGCTGAGATGCTACCAGTGTTACACAACTGAGCCCTCATTGCACTACTGACCCAGTGCCCCACTTTAGCACTGCTGCCCGTGTTGTCAGTGCTAGTGCCAGTGCTCACCATGACACTCCCATTTTAAGCCATAGGTATTAGAGGGTTTATGGCTTTCCAAAATTATCTGTTTGGGCTGATTTGTGTTCAAGCCTGTTTTCACCTTAGAAGTAAACTTTCTGGGACAATCCTCATGTGCATCAGTTTGCAAAGCTTGATTTTGGAAGTTTGCCCATGGATGTTGTAGCATGGCAAAGGGAAGGACTGGGTGGCATGGAAGGGAGCATTTCTGGCTCTGCTGTTTTTTGAATTATTCCTCTTGGACAGAAATGTAAATGCCCTAGAGATTCTAGTAAGACCTGACATGTTAGGCATTCAGGTTTTCACAGCCTCAGGATTGTCTGATGTTTAATCACAGGCCTTAGCTAAACCCTGCCCTAGAAAGCTCTTGGGCTTTATGACATAAAACCATGCCTCTTTCATACCAGGCACAGTTTTGCTGAGAGGGAAAAAGCCGTGCTGGGACCATGCGCTTTTAGGCTGGGGACCACCAGTACGTAAACTCCTCACAGATAAATCGAGGAGTACCCTGAGGAAGAATGTCTTGCATCGAAACCTTGTCCAATTTTATCCCAGCTACCTTGCTGGTCCAGTAAAAGAGATTGCCCTAAGAAAACTTTGCTTCTCACATAATTTCTGGACCGTCACAAGTGCAACATCACTCTTACGCTACCTAATCAAGTAGAAAGCCCGTAGAACCAGCATACTTTTTAATCTGGCATGGTTGTCCCTTTACTGGCAGGGAGAAATCAATTTGTTTTAATTTGTGCTTTAATTTACTGTACTGGTATCATGCAACTGTAACCAGCCCTCTGCTTAACCCCTCGCAACCCAAGGGCAGGGGTTACATAACTATTGAGTTATTTGTCAAATATTAGTAGAAACTACAGCCTAAAAATGAGAGCCTAGCATGGGTAAGAGAGAAGGGAAGTGGACAGCAGTCTTTTACTGGAATGGATCTAAAAGCAATTTTTCTGGGATATTTTCAGCTGAACACTGACAAAAGCAGCAACTGTAAAAGAGACAGCATCAGATAGTACAGTTGTCAGCTCGGTCAGGACTAGTTAGCAGAATGAGGTGACAGGGATGTGGTTAAATGGGTCAGGCAGCGCCTTTGAAATCTGAGGCCCATATGATGTTGGCTTTTAATTTTAAACAGAAAAATGCCCCTGTGAAAAAAGAGTTTGATGCGGTTAATTAGGCCATCAAATCCTGCTTTAACCTGCAAGTCTACGTTTTCATTGTGCTGGAATAAAAACCTGCAGCTGTTTGCAGCTGATTTTAAGAGACTACATTGAGAATGTGATTTCAGTATCAATTTCTCCCCTTAGTAAAGCTTCACTATTTTGACCATTTTAAATCTGTGGCAGCGTGGCCTCCTGCTTTAAAAGCCAAGGGATTTTCTGGTTTAACAGCAACAAACAGGAAATGGAGTAGAAGGAGGAGCTGCTGTAATATAGTGATTGTTTGGGCTCACTCCTTTGATATGCACAGAGGGCATTCGGCTTCAGAAGGCAGGGCAGGAGTCATTGTGGGAAAGGCTGCTTCCTGGAGTCAGAAGCAGAAATCTCATGTCGCGTGCTTAATTCTCCTAAGGTTACGTTACCACAACTGGGAAAGCCTCTTGCCAAATGCATTCTTAGACTTTTTAGCAGAATATGCTGCAGATGCGCTGAACCCCGGTCTCTGGTGCACTGTCTTGCAGCAAAGATCTTTCTGCAGAGACCAGTGTGTGGGACGAGCAAGAAATGCAGAGCATGACACTTGTGGCATTTTGCTCAGCAGGGAGCCATAGTTGGTTCAAGCTGGATTTTAACTTGGGGAATCACATTTTGGGTGACTCAAACTTGCCATCAGTGAGCAAATGATCAGATTGCTCCCCTGGCTGACCTGTCCCTTCTCCTTCCTTTCCATTTCTCAGTCTGTACGTTGGAGCCCCGAGTGTGCAGGTGCAAGGAACGCCCCATCTTCCCATCGCAGCTGTCACGTTTCATCCAAGCGCTTGGGGTTCTCCTCCTCTGAGCTCAGGGTTACAGAAGCCAAATGCTATTTGGCTTCATTTGCCTGCACTTTAAAATAAGTATGTAGATCACATATGTTCTCCTCTGAATTTTATGTTACAATATTTTTACTGTGAGGCTTCATGTGGATTTCTTTTCTGGTTGTGGTTTCTCAAAAAATGCCACCCACAGTCAGTCTCTTCAGAGGAAGCCAGGATCCAGAGCACCCGGATGGCCCAGGTGGCTGTCTTCATCTGTTGCACACATTTCTCTTTTTACCCCTTTCTGGATGAATTACTAGACTTTTCTCTTCTCTTTTCTGACTTGATACTGTGATCCCTGTAGCAGGGAGTCCCTCTCCCTCTCTTCCATTTGTTCGATTTTGGGGGAGAGTCGTTACTGATGCAGATGGAAGCTTTTCCTGTTCCCAGCGGCATGTTACAGATGTGGCTGCCTTTTTGATCCACAGAAAGATGCTGATGGGTGTTCTTGGAGCTTTTATTCTTAATGGCAAGTCTCAGCCTTGAGAAGCTTTTTTTTTTCATTTTTCTTTTTTTCTTATCTGTTTTTTTAGCAAATGCTTATTTAGCAGGAAACAGTGACATCTCCTGGCCGCTGCTGGGAGATACCAGAATGATGTCCCAAATGCACGAACAATTGCAGCTGGCCTTTGGTCATGGCTCTTTTTGTGGAAAACTCCATTGATTTCATTTGAGAAGTTTGATTACCAGGGTATTAGATGAAAAACAGATGTTCTCATATGAAGGTAAAGAGAGTGCTTTGGTTGACTAGCAGCTGCCTTACTGAGAGTGGTTAATGCAGTCCCGCTCTGGGTTTGGGAAGGGAGTGGTGCAGATGCAGTTCCATGTCCCTATTCACAACAGGATCCTATTTAAAACACCTTACATAAATGAAGTATTCAAGGATGATCAGAGACCTTGAAGCAAGCAAAGCCCCTGTATGTACTAAGGTACAGGTTAGAAGGGTTAGGTACTGCAGCTCTGGACAGCGAAGAAATCCTCTGCGTTTGGAACAAGAAGCAGATTTGTCTCTGTAGACCTCTGAATAAACGGTTACCAGCAAGGGCTGGATCTGGCAGCTCACCTAAGTTAAAATGACCTGTTTAAACCAGGAGCTAATGGAAATGGCTGAGAAAGCTGGTTTAGCCCCTGTGAACCTGGTCCAGCCAAAATGCACACAGTGCACCAAAGCTAGCAGGGAGCTGACTCAAGCACTTATAACCATGTCAGGACATGAGACCAACATAGCTGCAGCCTGAGAGCAGCCCTGCAATGGGGGAGAGATGAACTGATGCCTTTCAAAACCTTGAGAAGGAGGCTAAACAGAGCTAGCGAGGGATTTTCCATCTGGGGTAGAGAAAACTTGAAAGAAGAGAGAGCCCCAGGTTCCTACAGCAGCAGACTGGTCCGACTTCACATCTTTTGGGGCCCTGGTGACAGCATTGCCCTGGCAGAGAAGAGCCAATGTAAGCTCCTAGTGCTGCAAAATATCAGGCTTCTCAAGGGTGCAGAGCCACGGGGAGCATGCACTGAATAAAGCCCACAGCTGTGAGACCCCGCTGGGTAAACAGTGAACCAAGGCCAGTGCTTGCGAGTTGAATAAGGGTTACAGCTGAATGCTGCAGGCAGACAGGGTAGGTTAAAGAGCACAGGGCTCTCTTGGGGCCATATTTGCTCTCCTGGTTCCACGTGTCCAATTTGAAAGCACCTGGCAGCTTGTCAGACTGGTTCAGCAGGGTGCCGGGCAGTGCTGAGGTGGCACAGAGACTTGTAAAAATCAGCCGTCCCAGCGCAAGTGTCGCATGCTTTGGGCGTGCTGCTGTTCATCGGCTCAGCCTGGCTGTCCTGGCTGTGGGTGCAGCTGCTGCCACTGCCTCACCTGGGAGCCAGACCAGAGGGTGACTCCGGTCATCTGTGCCACTTGGCCAGGTCAGTTCCCCCTTGGGTTAAGTCACCACAGTGAATTGCCCCTTGGTAGTGGGTGTTCCCCGTGGGACAGAGTTCAGCCCTGTTTTCTGCTACAATTTGTTGTGTTTGGAGCTTGTGCTTGAAGCTACAAAGGCTGTCCCAAGGATCTTGCAGTCTCAGCGGGGTGAGGACAGGAAGCTTCAGGCCATCTTGGAAAGGTGTGAAGGCTTTCAGTGCTGCACACCCAGCCTGGTGGACGGACATGTTTCCCATTCAGTGTCTGTTTGGCCCCATGCCTAAAAGAGAGGTGATGGCTGCAGTGGAGAGCAGTCCCCATCACTCCTGGCCCACTCGCAGGGCTGTGGCCAGGGTGTATCCAGCTGCTTTAGCAATGGCATCTACAGGCCAGGGCAGAAGCAGTGGGCAAACCTCACTGCTGCTGGTGCTGTACCTGTTCTGTAGATAAAGGACTTGCGTCTCCGTACCCAAGAAGTCGGCAGCAGCTACTGAACACCTGGCATTCTCGACAGTCAGTCCCCATATTTAGGGGCCTGTGTGGTGGGTGGGAGCAGGGCTTTCCATTGCTGTTCTTTTAAGATCTCTGCCTGCTTTCCAAACCAGATGTACCCCACCCAGGGGCATTACTGGAAAGGCATCTACACAATGCAGTAGAGATTGCCTTCCTAGGGCTACATCGCACCTTCTGTGCTCCAGCAGCCAGGGCAGCGCTCGCCAGAGACATGTCTAGACATTTCAGGAAACATGCAAGATCCCACTTCAGCCATTTCCCGATTCTGGCTACTGCGGGGCTAGTGGCCTCTCCATACAGCTCCTGCTTGCTGCCGTCCCAGAAAAAGAGGGTTTTCCTAGCTGACTTAATGCCAAGTATGCAAGAAGGTCAACACAGGCTCCATAAAGCCAAACTCACCTTGGGTCCAGTGTTAAAACCTGGCTGGAGCATGGCCCCTGCCCATCCGATATGCCCTGAGCTTGAGAGCTGCATGCCACAGAGTGTATCTGTTTTCAGCTGCTTCGCTGTGTCAGGTTGTGAAGTGGTCCGTAGCTACTGCTGGCAGCATAACTCTAGGAAGCATGTGAGAGAAGCGAGCAAATGGCTACGGATGCAGAGGCACTGCGGTTTCTAAATAGGCCAGTGCTTCAGCTTCCAGAATAAATGGCCAGAGGATGCAGACCATTAGGTGGACAGATTGCATCTGCGATGCAGGGCTGCTCCATTTACCTCTCCTTTTCTCACTGGGCTCTGCCCCTGCTCAGGAAGATGGTGTTTCCCCACCCTGCTGGTGGCTGGTGCTGGCAGGAACCCCTCAGCTTTTCTCCCAATGCTCAGTTGGCTTTGTGTGTCCTGGCTGTTTTGTCTTCTCCTGGAGCACCAGAGATGAGCCACAGCCAGAAGTGGGATACTGGGCAGGGGTGGAGCAGTGCACTGAGGCAGCACGAAGGACCTTCTTTCTTAAATACCTGGCTGCTGAGTCTTGCTCACATGTCCACAGTCATATTGATGACTGGAATGGCCTTGGGAAGGGATTTCTCCCAAACTGGCTTGGCAGAGACTTTGGTGTTTCTCAGTTCTCTCCACAGCAAACACTTGCTAGCAGGGGTAACCCAAGTGTAGCTGTTCCTCTCCATTGCCAGGGTCTGAGACGTTGGTGGCACCGTGGTCTCAGATTCTGCTAGGTCTGGTCTCGGGTTGAATTTCCTGAGATTGGAAATGCTTTCATCCTTCTCAGACCTCTGGGTTCAGCGGGGAGGTATCGGGGTGAGACCTATCAGGCTGCATGATGCAGGTGGTCAGAAGAGGGGCTGTCTGCGAGGCCTGCAGCTCCGCAGGAGGGCATCCTGCCAGCCTTAGCCCCATGATTTACTCTCAGATCCGCTCTGTGGGTCAGTGCCATCCCTGGTGCTCAGAGGCTGGTTGCAGCTGTGGCTGTCCTGCATGGAAGGTGCTGAGCACCATGTGCTGAGGCTGAGCTCCCTGTCTCTTTGCTGGGCGTCTCTAGTCCTAGCCTCACCACCTTCCTTGCTGCATCTGGAGAAAGGAGTTAGGTCAGTGCTCCCAGCTGAGAGCCAGGCAGGTGTTGTATTTGCAAGGACTCGGTGTCTGCAGAAACAGGACACCTGTGACAGGCTCCGAGTGCTCAACGTTGGTGAAGTGTTTCTCAGGGGTCCAAGAATGGCTCGGAGGACTGCGCTCTGGGGAGCTGAGGTTGGCCCTGCAGAATGGCCCAGCACAGGGACCTTCCTGCCAGGCAGGACCTGGGCCGCAGGAGTTGCAAGGCCGTCCCGGCCCCCCACTGCTTGCCAGCTGTCCTGCAGAGGCAGGTTGGGGGAGCCCTGCAGTGGCAAGGCCATCCCAGCCCCCAGCTCTTTGCCAGCTGTCTTACGGAGGCAAGGCGGGGGAGCCCGCAGCAGCAAGGCCGTCGTACAGCTGGGACAGACCCCTGCCAGGTCCAGCTGAGTTCACGGTGGGTGGTCTCAGCAGAGCCTGTGACCCTGCCTATCAGAGGGGCTTCAGCTGGCCCACGCATGCCGCAGCCCGTGGGGTCCTTGAGCTGGCAGTCTTTCTCGTGCAGTGTTTCCCTGCTAATAAAGAAAAAAGAGATGGGGAAGTTGTTCCAAATGTCCACTAAGGCAGAGCAGCCGTGTTACTGTTTCTGAAGCCTCCCAGTGCTTCTGTCAGTCACGATATTTTATACACGCTGGAAGTGGGGAGCCCAGGGCGCAGCTCCCACTGTGGGGGTGGAAATTGGTGGGCATTGCTTTATTTAACAGAATAAAACTTCCAGAGTCAGTGAATCTACATCTACATGGAAGACGGTTCCTGTCAGGGTAGATGCGCTGTCAGCAGCTCTCCGCAGTTGCAAATAATCCCAGCGTCCCTAACCAGCTCTTGGTTGTGTTTCTTTGCAGCAATCAGAGAAGATGGCATGCCAGGAGGCAGGAACAAAAGTATTGGACCTGTCCAGGTGAGCAGACTGTTTTTAATGCAGTGCTCCTTCATTTCTTTACTGCTCGCCCATCTGATTGTGAGACGTACGCAGTCGGTACACTGGCTATGTGCTCCTGCAGCTGGAAACGGGGAAGATGAAACTGTTGTTCGTTCCTTGAGGGGAAGAAAACAATGCCACCTCTCAAGGAGGCTGCATGGGCTCAGTGACATCCCTTCCACCTCTGTCTGGGGCAGCGTTGGGAAGGGAGGAGCGCCTGGCTCCAGAGGTGTTCCTGACCCACCTGGGACGGGCTGGATATGTGCCGGTTCCTGCAGCCGCAGTCCAGCCCGGCTGCGGAGCTGCTGCAGTCTCTGAGCCATGGAAGCAGGCAGGCCCAGGGGTTCAACCTGAGTTAATTGGTGACAGTTTTGCTCATGCGTGATGATGTCTCCTAATAGCGTAGCAGGGATTTGGCCAGCCCTGTCTCGTTAGTGATACATGCCATTTAGGCAGCTGATTTGTAAACAAGGCTCTGATCTTGCTTGACTCCAGCGAGAGGAGATGGCATCGCTGCACGACAGATTGTCATCGGATGGCTACATGAATAAACTGACAATCTCTAAACTGCTCAGTCGGGCTGTAGGAAACAGTCGGTCCTTTGTAAGCGGCACGAGTACTTCAATCCCTGCAAAGCTCCCAGTAAATCTTAGCAGTCTCCATACTGCAATTTCTTAAGTTGTTGCAAGTGGGGCATCCAGTAAATGTCTTCCTGATTGATGGGGCAGCTTGTCTGGAGATGTCTTGTAAAATGCTAGGTAATTCAGCACAATAGCTTCTGCCGCACGAGGGGAGGAATGATTGCCATTTTCCAGGGGGCAGCAGGAACAGCTGTCCTTAAAAAGTTTACTGTTTATTTTAATACAAGAGAAGTAATTCAGGAGCAGCCTTTTGCAAGGCTGCCTGTGTGTGTGTGGGAAACTACCACCCCCATGCAAACTAAAACTACCAAAAGCCAAGCAACCAAAAAAGCCTTCTTCCTGCAGTTTGCTTCCCTCTGAATAAGGAACAGCATCACAGCTTGTGCCTTTTCCTTAGACAAGTTCAGTCCCCTCCTTGCTCTTACAACCTCGGAGGGCAGCAGGAGGGTAGTTCTAAAAATGGATTGCAGTAGCCGTGTGCCACTTCCCATTGTTTTCAAACATAGCCATATTTTGCCAATGCTCCTTACAACCTCCTTGTAAAAGCTAATTTTTTACATTTCTACAGCAGTGTAGCTGGTAAGGCAGCCTGCTTGGGTAGCCAAAAAGGAGCCCTGCCACATTGTGGTTTGTGTGATAGAAAGGATAAACCAGGCTGCTCAGCCCAACTGAGAGGGGCTAGTTAATTATTCTCCTCTTAGAATAAAGGAAAGGTGGGCCTTGTTCCTTGGTTGGGGGGTTTCCTGACAATTGTGTTGTCTGGAGTAAATCTCTCAGCAGTGGCTGGTAGGTTCTTTGCACCTCTTGAAAATGATGCCACAGAAAAGTGCAGTTCAGCAATTGTGTAGAGCTCACGTGGACTCCTTGTGCCCGTGGGATGGGGGAAGGGAATACGTGCAGTAAACCTCACAAAAAAACCCGAGCGCTACACTTCTGCTACTGCTGAAGGCAGAAATATCTGCATCATGCTGAGCCTAACCCAGGTCTGCTGCCATCCCTGGATCTCAGAGGTTTATTTCCAAATGTCCCAAGTGTGATTTAACTGCAAGAGCAAACCAGGAGGTACTGTAGGGACCAAGGGAGCAAAATGATCCAGATGACCCAGTAATCAGTCTTTGGTGTCCTAGAGCTCTCCTTCCAGCCTCCCTCCCACCACCCCCTCCCATAGACGATGCTGCAGTGACCGGACTTGGGTTGTGCTGTTGGACCGGCAGGTTGTCCTTGGATTATATGACATCCTTATTTAAAACAAATGCCTCTTATCAAGAAGAGGTAAGAGGACTAATGAGAGGAGCATGGGAGATTTCAGGTATAGCTGAAAGTCCTTCCAAGCATAGGATATCTCATTTTATAATAAAGGTCTGGGTGGTAGTATTTCTCCCAGACTACAGACAGCTTGAGAAGTCTGTGCCTGTGGCTAAGCCAGTTTTGTACTTGGTTGAAAAATGTTTGATGTGATGATCTTGTCTCCAAAAGATTTCAGAGGAGGAGATTGAAAGAATTATGTCTGGGCAAGAATTTGAGGGAGAAGCAAACATCTCTTGGAGCAACAATGGAGACAGTGATCACAGTTCCCCGGGGAATGGAGTTTCTGAGAGCAACCAGCCATCACCTGTTTCTACTCCATCATCAAGGTGGGAGTTTTCACTGGAAAACTCAGAGGGCAGTAGCTCGGCCTCTGTTTCACCGAGGATGCTTTGTGGATGAAATGTGACAATGGGCATTTTGTGAACTGCATATTTTTGCATGTGTAACTGAAGTGCGGTCTTACAAATTGCGGCTGTTTTTATAAACACATTTCTAGCTAAAGAGATGCGCTGCATTGAAAAGATCAACCCAGTGCAATGTGAGCAGTGAAATGCCCAGGGGGGCATGATGAAGAGATTTGGTTTAAATATGAGAATTTCAACCTCCCTCCCTCTTCATCTGAAGTGATAACACTTGAGGTTATGAAAGCCTGAACCTTTGTAATGTCTGATTTACCTTTCACTGTCAAGGCTGTTTACATTTCGCTCTGCTCGGAGGTTGAACGTGAACTTGCCAGCTTCTAGTCCGTCTCTAATTTTGTAATTACTGTGCAGTCAGTGTCACTCTCAGGTTCTCATTCACTGTCCTAGTGCTTTGGCATTTGGACTGCAAACACTGAGGAGGGTTATGTAACCACCATTCCCTGACTCCTGCTTTCAATTGCATTGAAAAAAAGAATTTGATGAAAATATTTGTGCTCAGAGGTGACACAAACTCTCTTATTTGCAATCCTGAATCCCAGGCTGTTAAGAAAGCAGAGATTGAAATGTTTGGCACAACAGTGGGTATCTTTTCTTACACTGAGAACGGCAGCTGTTTTCTGACCAGCAGAGGTTGTAGATTGACATGAAAAGGAGCTGGCTCTGAGGTCAAGCTGAACATGACGCAGTGTAAAGTGTCTGGGCCGCACGTTCTTAACCACTTTCACCAAAGCATTTAAGCACAAAGCTGTTTGCCACACTTCCCCCCCCCCCCCC